TTTGAGTCTCTAATGACTCTGAGGCTATCTCATTTTCATTATACCAGGAAGGACCACTGACTAGATCAATCACAACACCTTAGCCCAAGTGATACAATCAGCAACACCATATAGCATCAAGTACATCTTAGAAAATGACATTTTGTGGTAGTTATTAATCTATCACCTTTAACTGTATGAATTAAATCAAAATCAAGGACCAACCCAACATATGTTTATAGTGAATAAACTCTTCAATATAACAACTTTACCCTTCGGGATGGGGAGTTAGAAGGAGTCAGGGAGGGAGGGACAGATAAGTAGAAGGATAGGGGAAGGTTAGCAGTGAGGCCAGAGGACACAGGCCAGAGAAGGAAAAAAAGAATAATAGAAAAATAAAGAAGAAATCCGAATGAGGGCCAGATCAGGAACAGAAAGGGAGTTGAACAATGTGGGACAGCAGGATGTGAGTGTAAGAGAGAGAGAGAAAGGAAAGAGAAAAGAAAGAAGAAAAAAAAAGAGAAGAACAAAAATTTGCAAAGAATAGGAAAAAAAATTAAAGATAAGAGGAGAGAAAAACCCCAATAATACTAGTTTTGGAAATAAAAAATAAAAATGAAAATGAAGGGCCTCCTTCAGGGTATGTCTCTGCTGTCACAGTAGACAACATGGGTAGCAGTGTGCAGATAGATATAAGTCATTGAGTCTCAGCAAGCCAGTCTCAGACCTGTGAGATTCAGGCAGATTTCTGGCTTCAAGTCCCAGGTTGAGCTCCCTGTCCTCCTGTAGCGTTGAACTCTGTAGGGTTGTACTGCAGGTTCCAGCTGCCCTTCCTCTAAAGATAGTCCTGGTTCCAACGGGAGGTGATGATCCCTCCAACTTACCCAGCACAGTGGTCTGGTGGTCCGGTGTCCCCTGTGTCTTTGTAGTGTGGAAGCAGGTGGCAGTACAGCCAAGAGGCCAGAGAAGTGAGGGAGTGGGGGTGGGGGTCCTGCAGGCACCCATGCTGCTAAATGGATTGCTGTGGAGGGCGCGGGCTGAATGGGTCGGGTTCCCTGTGACCAGGGACCCCTCTGCGGTGTCTGCGGATTCTTATTTCTTTATTCAGAGTAAGAATTAAGGATTCATGGTGACAACCAATCACAGCTCTCAGACTTTATTGTGGGCCTTGTTTGACAAGCTTCTTGCTCGCCCTTTATGGAAACATATGAAAGCAAAGAAGCATAATTTCTAAAACAAAAGAAAATATTTTTAAAAGGAATTTTTACAAAGCACAGTGTTCTACTGAGATAAACTTTGAACAAAGGGCTGTAGCTGCTGAAGAATTCTTTTTTCATGCTTCAGCTAGAGCTGTTATCTTGGAAGAAGCCATAGGATTTGTCTACCTGTGAAGAATATTATTCACCGCCTGTGAATTTCTTCTTCCCAAAGAGGGAAGAATATCAGCATGTTTGTGTCAGGAGGCCTGAGGGCTCATGAGGGGAATTTTCTCTAAGCTCTCAAAGAACACAGGTCTTGGAGAATTCAGTGAATAATGGAGGTGGGAGAGGGGCCAAATATTTTGTTACATTCTATTGTCACCTTTTAAAAGTCCTTTAGATTTGGTGTGTTGATGCACCACAGTTGGGGCATTGTTTTCTATTCAGGTGCAGTGAATTAAATGATCAATAGAATCATGTTTGCTTATTTCTAGATGGTAATTTGTGATGATTTCTAGAAGACCTACTATTCCTTTCCATTTTTAAAGACCAGGAATGACAGATATACAAAGCATGTTTGGGGAGTCAAGAAATTTGGGAATATGAAACAGATGCCTCTAACCATACAGCTATGTACACTGCTCTGTGTGTTTGTTTAGCCTGGGGACAGTAACAAAACATAGCTCAAAGTGTGGTTTATGGGTAGTGGTAGAAGTGAGACCAGACATCTGTCCCATAATCTGAGCAGGTAGTCTGTTTTTATGCTGTAGGTTATTCTTTTGGCCTCTTGTGACATCCTTTCCTTTGCTAAATCTCTTAGTGTGTTTGTGACAAAATGTCTCTGTTTAATGTGCTACACCTTTGAAAGGGGTGTCTTTAAGGAGACTTGCCTGAGATCTGCTCAATTCCCTGTTTTCCCTTGACCTGAGCTGTCAGATGTGTGGCCTGCTCACAGGAGAACTGGGACACAGAAGAACATGTCACAGGTGATTGCCTTGGGCTTCATCAGAATCATTGTTTTTAGGCTCTTGTCCCATGTTGCTATCTCCTTATATCAGTTCATATGAGACAGATGTGCAGAGCCTTATGGATAGTGAGTGAGTGAGGAACTGACTGAGGTCAAGAACTGTGTTCTTGGGCTGGAGATGTAGCTCAGTGGCACTGTGCCTGCCTCACAAGCACAAGGTCCTGAGTTCGATCCCTGGTACCAAAAAAAAAAAAAAAAAAAAAAAAAAGACCTGTTTCCTGGGCTTGATGAGCTCTAGCTGACAGCATCTGAACTGCTGGGACTTGTCTTCCCAGGTCGCTGCGGAACCTGCTTGATGGTGAGATGGAGCACTCGGCTGTGCTTCGGCAAGAGGTGGACACCTTGAAAAGGAAGGTGGCGGAGCAGGAGGAGCGGCACACCATGAAGGTCCAGGCATTGGCAAGGTAGGGAGGGCAAGGGACCATGAAGTGAGCACCTGGAGGCTTGGTTAAAACCCATGCACAACTTTCACCCACACTTTGGAATAAAAAAATTAGTGACCAAAGGAAATAAAATTTATGCATTTCAGTTTAACTTATTTTATTAAATGATGCATATGCACATGGTTCAATGTTCAGAAGGTTAAACTGTGTGAGACCCATTTTTTTGTCCCTGCCACCCAGTTTGCTCCATAGAAGCCATCAGCGTTACCAGTTTCAGAGATCATCCAAGTACATACAGCCAAATGTGTATGCATATATTCCCCCCATCCCAAATACCACTCACTTTACATCTTGGGGAGGTCTCTGTGTGGGTGGACATGGGGACTGCCACGTTTTTAATAGCTCTCGATATGTCATTATCTGAATAACCAGAATTTGTTTAACAGTCTGCCAACAGCTGAGGATTTCCAGGCTTTTGGAAGTAACCAATAATCACAGCTAACAACCCGTGTGTCTGTTATCTTGCTCACGTGTGAGTGCATTTGTTGAAAGCATTCCCAGGAGTAGACTTGCTGGGTCAAGGTGCAGTGCATTTGTATGTTGGATAGAGGCCATCGGCTTGCCTTCTGCAGATGCTGAGCCACGATGTCCCACAGCAGCATGTCAGGTGACACTGCTGCCTCAGATGTGCTCACGAGAGTAGGACCCAGGTTTCAGGTTCCTGATAAAATCATGGAAGAAAAATGAGGCTGGCAGGATATTTTTCCATTTGCATTTCTCCAATTATGACCATGATTGAGCCTATTTTTATTAAGAGCCTTTTCTTCTGTGATGTTGTTTATGTGTTGTGAAAGAAACCTTCAGTGGACCAGAAAGCATCCAGCTCCCATAAAACATGCATATTTTTCTTAATTTGTTCACATGTGAACATATTTTTATATGTTGCACTTAGAATCTATAGCCCATTATTTTTTAGGCCACCTCCTTCCTCTATTTACTATACAAGAGCAGTTTGGGTTTTTTTTGGTTTTTTTCCCATTAAGTTTATTGGTCCATTTTAGGTATACAATACAGTTACACTCATCATTGGGATCTCGTACCATTACCTGAGTCTCTTGGTTCTTATTTTTTTTCCCCTTCCCTTGCCCTCCCTTCACCCCCTCCACCCTCCCCTATTTGCAAAGACCTTGTTTCCATTTTTTTTCCTCTTCTCATATTTTTTTCCTTTCCCTTTTTTCCCTTCCCCTACCCCTCCCAATTCCCCTGGTCTTTTAGAACTTTTCTTCCTGTTACAGAATATCAGTTATACATTTTTTAAGTTACAATATTAAGATCTAGGAGACATTACCACAGATTTTACAGAATTTAAAAGGATATAGAAAGCATATTTCAAAAATTACAAGAGCAGTTTTTATGTTAACTGTTTTGTTTTTTTTTTGGTGCCGAGGATGGAACTCGAGACCTTGTGCTTACGAGGCAGGCGACGGCACCACTGAGCTAAAACCCCACCCCTATGTTAACTATTTTTATATACCTGGATGTAGTATTTCATTGAGTTAAAGTATCATAGTAAATTGGCCGTATTAATTGATCAATTTAACATGGTCAATTTAGCATTTGGGTTATTTCCTGTTTTTTCCTTCTTTTAGATGAAATAAGCAGTTTACTGCTTGTTCTTTGAAAGTGCTTTTAAGTAAGACCAGGAGAGAATTAAGACCTGTGGCAGTGCCAGGGCACCCAGGGCTGGGTGAGTTACATGGCAGCCTTTGTTATCCCTTGGTGGTGTGAGGTGATGTAGTTGTGTATCTGTAATTGAATGTTAGCACCATGACTTCATATCTAAGTTCCATTCCTTGAGCCTTATCCCTTTCTTCCCCTTCTAAAATGGCATCTCAGGAGCTTCAGAGCCAGTTAAATGACAATTACAAATGAGTAATAGGTACCTAACTTGGCATTTTCTCTACTGGTCCTCCATTTCATCTGGCCATGGTAGATTCTGTGGCATAGTTGCATTTGATGTTCACAATAAAGGCTGAAGACTTTAAAGACACTGGTTCTGAATGATCCGTGACACCAAGGATTATATTCTTTGTCATTTCTCTGGCTTGTGTTAGAGTTCACCTTAGTCCTGAGTCCTGCTCCATTACTCTCAAACTGTGTGCTTCTGGGTGAATTGCTCCGCATCTGCAGGCGTGTGTTTCCTCATCTATGAAGTGGAGAGGATGGCCTTACTCACCCAGGGAGACTGAATGAGGAGGAGAGTGTGAGGGTGCCAAGGTGCTGGGCGTGTACAAGCTATTGTGAGTGTGTGACAGTAAGCACATTTTAGCACGTGAAAATCCTAGGGCAAATTTCATTCTATAAAGTTTGTAGAAAAAACTGATTTCTTAACTAGACTGTTTTGTAATTGGAACTCTTTCTATTTAACCAATGGGTAGCTAAGAGTTGAAGGTATCTGAAAGGTTGTGGTTTATAGGTGGGACATCTACAAAACAGATGAATATTCGAAAAGAAGTTAACAGATTGATCAGTCTTCTAAGTTTTGGCAAGCTTAATTGCCGGCGTGTTCCAGATAGAGTTCACCTCTGTCAGTTCTCAGAAGGTTCTTCTTGCTTCTGGCCATAGCAAGAGTATCAGTCTGTGTTAGTGAATGGTGGACCCAAGCTGTTGCCTGGGGAGAGGGAGTGCTGCAGCTGGTGGGGCATAGTCGGAGTGGGGCAGTGAAGTGTCACAGGCTGGCAGGGGGGATGTACGTGTGTGTGTGTGTGTGTCCGTCCCACCCTGTTCTCATGTTCACCTGTGCTCAGGGCAGGTCTGATTAGATGATTTAATGTAAGGTGACTTGGCTTAACTTGGTTTGGACTTTGGGGATCAGTTCCTAGATCTACTCTATTTCTGACTAATTCTGTGACCTTGTGTGAGTTAATTAACCTATCTTTCAATTTTCCTAGTTTTAAAATGGGGATAAGATGCTGCTGCCTGCCTTGCAGGCACAAGGTCTTGAGTTCGATCCCCGGTTAAAAAAAAAGGGGGGGGGATAAGAAAACTCTACCTCATTAGATTATTGCATGGATAAAATGAGAGCGCATTTGTTGGCTCAGTAAATACGCTTCATAAATATTCAATAAATGTTAACTATTTTCATTTTTCTTAGTATAATTCTTATGTTAACTTGCCTAATTGAAAGGTATATTTTAGTTGGCCGTAGTGTCACATGCCTGTAATCTCAGCAGTCTGGGAAGTTTAGACAGGAGGATTGCAAGTTGGAGTCCAGCCTTGGCAACTTAGTGACTAAGCAAGACCGTGTCTTTAAAAAAAAAGAAAAAGCTGAGGATATAGCTCAGTGTGAAGGGCTTAGGTCCAAAACCTAGCATTTCTTTAAAAAAAAACAAAACACAACCCAAACAGAGAACTACAGGCCAATCTCCCTAATGAATGTTGATGTAAAAATCCTTAACAAGATACTGGCAAAGAATACAGAGGGTCATCAAGAAGATCATACACCCTGACCAAGTCAGATTTATCCCAGGGATGCAAGGATGGTTCAACATTCGTAAATCAATAAATGTAATACACTATAGTAACAGAGTCAAGGACAAAAACCATATGATCATCTCAATAGATGCAGAAAAGGCATTTGACAAAATCTAACACCCATTCATGATAAAAGCCCTACAGAAAATTGGAATAGAAGGTCTTTATCTCAACTTGATTAAGGCTATCTATGAAAAACCAACAGCCAACATCATACTAAATGGTCAAAAACTGAAAACTTTCACGCTAAAATCAGGAACAAGACAAGGATGCCCACTATCACCACTCCAGTTTATATTGTTCTCGAAACATTAGCCACAGCAATTAGAAAAGAGAAAGAAATAAAAGGAATAAAAATAGGAAAGGAAGAAGTTAAACTGTCTTTATTTGCTGATGATATGATACTTTACATAGAAGACCCAAAAAACTCTGCCAAAAGACTCTTAATTGACAGATTCAGTAGAGTAGCTGGATATAAGGTCAATACTCAAAAAACAATAGCCTTTTTATACACACATAATAGACTCACTGAGAGAAATTAGGGAAACAATTTTTTTACAATAGCATCCAAAAAACTGAAATATCTAGGAATCAACCTAACAAAGGAAGCAAAAGACCTCTACACTGAAAACTATAGCACTCTGCAAAAGGAGATTGAGCAGGATATAAGAAAATGGAAAGACATCCCTTGTTCCTGGGTAGGAAGAACCAATATAGTGAAAATGGCCATACTTGCAAAACTACTATATAGATTTAATGCAATGCCGATTGAAATTCCAACAAGATACTTCACAGAACTAGAGAAAACAATCCAAAAATTCATTTGGAACCAGAAGAGACCTAGAATAGCAAAAGAAATTTTAGGCATCAGAGATGTGGCTGGGGGTATAACAATCCCCAACTTGAAACTATACTACAAAGCTACTGTGATAAAATTAGCATGATGCTGGCAAAGAAACAGACCCAAGGATCAGTGGAATAGATTAGAAGATGCAGAAACAGCTCCAGATATACTCAGCTACCTCATCTTTGACAAAGGAGCCAACCACCCTCATTGAAAGAAAGATAGCCTCTTTAATAAATGGTGTTGGAAAAACTGGATTTCAACCTGCCAAAGATTAAAACTAGACAGACCCATACCTATCACCATGCGTTAAACTAAGATCGAAGTGGATTAAAGATTTAAATATCAAGACAGAAACACTAAATTTGCTGGAAGATAAGTTAGGTAAAACTCTTGAAGACATTGGTATAGGAAAAGGCTTTATGAACAAAACCTCAGTGGCGTGGGAACTTGCACAAAGAATCAACAACTGGGATCTCATCTTATTAAAAAGCTTCTGCACTGCAAGAGAAACCACCAACAGAGCTAACAGACAACCTACAATGTGGGAAAAAATTTTCAGCAGCTGTACCTTAGACAAAGGACTACTATCTAGAATATATAAAGAACTGAAAAAAATCAGACCGCCCAAATTCAAAGACCC